CCCGCAACCTTTTCCGTACCGACGGTTTCTCTCAGGAGGTCACCTTGCGCCTGTCTTGCCCAAAGCAGGGCAAGGCTGTGAAGCTTGGGGTGGGCCTGAGTCCAAGCAACACGGGGCTTGTGAAGGTGACGACCACTTGCTGAGTTGTCCAATAAGTAATCGTTGGAGTAGTAACTAATGGGTTTTTGCAATAGGCGACTCATATCCGGAGATTGGACAATATTGTCACCGTGATGGAAAGAGTAGGGCCCGGATTCATAGATATAGGGCACAATTGGGTTTTAAATACTAACGTTGCGTAGGACTTTATAACTGTTAAGAGCGATTTCAAGGAAGCTATTCGAGGCGTGCCGACCCGGATAGGAGCGGGCTTCACAAGGATTGAAGCGGAAATTGCTCAGCGCAATTGGGAGCTCAAATCAGATGTAGATCGGAAAATACGGGACCTTAGACATGAAATGTCCAGAAACCACCGTGACCTTATTCTCGAAGTGTCGAAGAACAAATGGGACCTTATTTCAGATATGTTGCAGAACCACCAGAAACTCCGGAGTGGGATAATGAAACTTGAAACTAAGGTGGAGGTGAACCATATCAAATCTCAGGGTGAGCTTGAAATGATTCGCTGGCCTATTCCGTTTCTCATGGGAGGCGTATTCCTGGTATGTGTGATATATTTTCCAACTACCCGTTAATCCAATACTAATATCTATCAGACTATGGGAATTTGCATTTTCCTTCGCTAGCACAAAGTTTTGGACAAAGGGCAGGTGGGTGGGGCGCCTCGGGTCAGTCTCAGATCACTTCTTGTGTTGTCTCTGCTATCGAATCTCTAAACCGTCAAACCAAAAAAAGAACAATTGCACATCTCTTCTCTGTGCCAGGGCATCCTTCAGGCTACTTGTATGTGATGGTGCTACAACAGCTTGCTTTCAAAGCTCCCTTCTCATTTCTTTACTTTTTTTTGCTTCTCTCCGTTTTTACTGTATATTAGTTGGCTGCGCTAAAGAGGTGTGAAAGTATGGAGAAAAGAAAAGAAAAGAAAAGAAAAGAAAAAAAAAATCAAAGACCAAATATATTTCACTGAAAAATGTGTAGCACCGCCGAGAGAGCCCACAAATCAAATCTTGATGCAAAGGTGTCATTCGGGCTCCCAATTCCTCATCCTCACTGGGTGTTGACAACACCCTAAAATATCGCATGATAGACTATCTCAGACGGACCTCTAATTTCTATACTCTAAGACAAAACGGTCTAAGAGGGGACTGGCTTCTGGCTTTTCCTCGCGCTACGCTGTGAAGGCTGAGTGTGCCGAATTTGTTAGATCTCGTTAATTAGTATTTGGAATATAGGCAACAGATCAAACCCAACCTATTGTGCGTTGACGCCGCAATTAGTCTTCTCAGGCGACCAGGCCGGACTGCGGATAGCCTGCGACGTACCATCCGGCCAGGCCGGGTCAAAATAAAACCGAAGCGGGCTTTGTAGGCCAGCTCTTTTGAAACCCTATGGGTTTTATAGATACCTGACAGCACTGGCAGGCTTTCGGCATCTGCCAACTGATTAGTAAATATTTTGTTAGTATGTGGCAGACATCTCCAGATGAACGCGAACACCCGCAGATATCTAAACATGCCTGCGTATATCTGAAGAAAAGCCCTACAAAGCTCCACTTATGCACGCATTTCCTCCCGTAAAGGGGAAGACATATCCCCTTGATTCCACCTTCAGTTCGGCGCAGAGTGAAGACTCCGGAGTTTTATGTTCATCATACTCCCCTTTGCCGTGTTTCCTCCACTTGAAAGCCTCCTAGATCGGTAATGACCGAGGATATTAGAAGATGCGCTAACCGATTTCTTCCCTTCTGCCGCCAACACATACTAGGCGACTTAGCCTTTGAGTGTGAGATAGCATCTTAAAAGGGCTTAACTTATAACTAACAGATAGCAGATGCAAGGCCTGGAGATAGTTGTATCTCCCCTTCCTCCATGTCCGTATCTACTGTGGCGACCTCCTGTCCAGCCACGAAATTCTCCAGCGCCTCAAGCATATCCTGCATGGCTCCTCCAGAGGTGTAAGGGACCATTGCCAGAAGTGACACCAGAGTTTCAGCAATCGGCAATGACTCAATGGTCTCAAACCCCCACACTTCTGACAAATCTCGGGGATCCCAAGCACCCGACGCCCTTCTAAGCCTGCGGGGTAGCCGGTACCTCCACCCTCCGCCCAGCTTATTCATTCGGTCGGACTTGATGAATCAGCACCGAGCTCTGAGTTCTCGCATGCCTGGCATCACAGAGGCCGTTGGCATCAGAGGCTTTCCCCCCACCTTGATCGATATTCGTATCCGCCTTCTTCGCTACCTTCGCCACAGTGACTTCCCCGGCAGGACGATAATTGCTGTCGAACGCCCCATCTAAACGAAACTTGGGCCCATATGATTTGCGGCGCCCAGATGAAATCTCACCCAAGCCCAAAGGTAAGGGTCAAGAGGGAGCCGAAGCACGGGGGGTCTCAGTCGAAACATATGAATCCCCACTTGACATGACCGACAGGACGAAGCTAGACTCTCTAGAGTGCACGTTAAACAGCACCCAGCGGAATAGTCTTTATTCATCTCGCGCCCATCACACCCAGCCATGCCGAAAAGGCGCCTCGCCACCGCCAACAACCTGGAAACATTCTTCAACGCAGCCGCTTCAATAAAGCTGTTTAAATCCTCATCCTTCCTACTGTTAGTACACCCACCCACATGACAAAACCGCCAAACAAGGCCCGGGGGTATAACATAAGAACAATCCATCGCAATGGCCATCAGGGGACGCCCACCACCACTAGAACTCTTCCCCTCCATCTCGGCAGTACCTCAGGGTTTCGCCAGGTGCACCTGGATATCTCAACCCTCGACAGTAGCAGTAGATAGTCAAATTTTTCAGTAGCAGGCAAACATATTCCGTTGTTGAAGCCAGTGGGGAAACCACGATAGTAGGCACAAGCCGATAAAAATAAAACACGCCGTCCAAATATGACAGGTCAGAAGCTAGGAGAAAAGGTTCAACCCACAGCAAGTTTTATACTGTACTTAGCAAATTCAATGCTTTGACCCCGTTGCAACATTCGTATTCGCCACAAAACTAAGCACAGTTTCTTATCACTCTGGTCGTAACAAAACCTCCCTCATATTCGCCAACACATGCATTGGTTATCCACGAATATAGTGTGGGGAAGACAACTGCGAAGCCCGCACTAGTGGGATATGGGCCGGAGCCCCAAGAATAAAGAAAGTAATCGGAGTTGGTTAAAACTACCTTGGGAGTCGCTCTAGGAAGGTGTTCAGCGGAAGAAATTGAATTGGCTGGTCACCGTTCCGGATGTTTGGGTACGACGGGACTCAGAAAGTAAACTACTACAGTAGTTGAGGAGGTACAAAATTAATTCAAATCGGTTTATAGTAAGTAGAGCGATCCTTAGTCAAGAGATTGATAGGTTGAAAAGATGTATGTATGATATCATAAACTGGAAAATAGCGGGAGACTACGAGTAGACGAAGCTACGAGCACTGTACTGTACATACTTTTATTTCCTTATTTATGTAAGCAAGGTGGGTAAAGGTCCCATGGCATTGTATTATATGCGCCCGGGTGCAGAACATCCCTAATAGGGAAATGTAGGGTATTTCCATTGTAAATTAAAATTGATATGATATTATAATTGATAAAATTGGACCGAGGACCTGCTCGGAAGGTAGCTAAACACAAGTTTTGAGGGCGAAGTCCGTACTCGATTGGTTTTGACTGTTCTGGCCCTTTTGGTTTTAGGAGTGGTGTTCGGCGATGCATGAAACCATAGCTTTTGGGAAAACGAGAGGTTACGGATAAGAGAATCACTCAACACCAGGGGCCGGAAAAATTAATTCGAGGCAATCCCCAAACAAATCACCTGGGCTGCTTCATTAGTACTATAATAGTATAACTCTTACCATACTATTTCCTGCACCCATCACACTTTTCAGGATAAGACAATCTAAGACAATCGTAAAAGCTGTCCGGTGAGTTCACACTGTAGCTAACCCTTATCTATTCTACCTAATGGCAGTAACAACGTGTAAAATATTTTCACGCTATCGTCTGAATGGCAAATACGTCACCCCAAACCATGAGTCTCTTCCACTTCGCATAGCACTCACAAAACATCGTTCGACGAAGCCTTCTTTTCGGTGTTTTTATCTCCTCACTATAGGCAAAGAAGCTCTTAATTGACGGCAGTGTTGGGGATGTAATAGTCTTTGTGGTTATGGAGGCGTAATTACGGGTCCTTTAGCAGGGGATTGCCATTTCCAAATCGTTCAAAACGGGTATGATCATGATTCGGATACCGAGCCACTCTTTTTGCCAATTGGGATCTGCCACAGTGCTCTACAGAGACCTCTTTTCTCTTTCACGTGCTCGAGTAATGGCTGGTTGGCCAAAGGAAGCAACACAAACACACGACGGCACCGTCTGAGGAAGACGAGAGCTCACAATTAGTATAGCAATCAGATTGTGGTATCATATTGGGGTATTTTAGGTTAGGGTATATCAATGGGAACGTGGTTATGTTTGGTGTCCCGGAGGGACGGGTTTCTGGCGGTGTTTGAGTGAGCATCGTATTGGGCAATTGGCGCACTACGCCTTGGCGTGGTCTGGTTTACGTTTATATAGTGGACTATCTCCCCTCACCAGAGTGGAGGAACACTCTTTTTCTCCTTATCCCACGTCATTACAATACTGCTTCCGCTTGTGCCCGATAGACGACCCTCCATTAGCAATGGCTGGCAATAGCCAATCCTTAACTAAAAGGCTTGAACGAAGGGTGCTTGGTACTGTATAGTCCGCAAGTATAGTGACGAGATATCAGCTACTGAAGAAAACAACGGCCCCCTGCGTTTGTCAGTCTCACAGGTTTACCAATATGTTATTACAGATGGGAGTATGCCAAGGCAAAAGAAACGGAATCTAGAAATGGCGATTGAAAAAGTCTTAGCCACAATACGGGATGAAGTGGCGGGGGGCAACAGCGCGGGCAGTGGCTCGGACGAGTTCGAGGGACTCGATGAAGACAGCGTGGTGGAACCAAAGGTAAGGAGCAAGAATAGCCGAGATATCTAAAAATTATCTAATGCTCAAACTTCCGGCAGGGATCAAACACAATGAACAAGCCAGTAGCTGGCAAGATAGTACCGGCATTATCGTCACCTCTTAAACGAAAAGACCTTGAGGAGGTCAATGATGGCGAAGCGAGAAAACGTCCAAAACAAAACAACTCTGGCGTAGCACCCAAGACAATCTACCGGAACGACATTGGAGGCATGGAAGACATCATGGATGATCTCTTGGAGCTCATCGTCATGGCTCTAGTCCACCCAGAGGTTTACCAGCTAACGGGAATGCCCCCGCCTCTCGGTGTGCTTTTCCACGGGCCACCTGGTTGCGGTAAAACTATGCTGGCAAACATTATTGCCGAAGAGGTTGGGCGACCGTTTATCGCTATTTCTGCACCCTCAATTGTATCCGGAATGTCTGGAGAATCGGAAAAGAGGCTACGGGAACTTTTTGAGGAAGCTCGGGAAAAGGCCCCTTGCTTAATGTTTATAGATGAGATAGATGCTATAATGCTGAAGAGAGATAACACCGAGCGAGGGATGGACAGAAGACTTGTTGCTCAGATGCTGACCTGCATGGATGATCTTACCTTGGAGAAGACTGGCGGGAAGCCTGTCGTGATTATTGGTGCAACAAACCAGCCAGATAGCCCAGACCCAGCATTGAGAAGGCCTGGGAGATTTAATAGGGAAATTCACCTCAGCATACCAGATGAAGTTGGAAGAGAGAAGTATTGCCCCGGACTACTTTTAATATGAATTCCGCAAGCACGTCCTCATATACTAATTATGTCTTACGTCTCGCAGGATCTTGAGGGTGGTGTGTGGGAAGCTAAAGTTACCTAGTGATTTTGACTTCAAAAGATTGGCCAAAGAAACCCCCGGGTTTGTTGGAGGTGATCTAAGTGCTTTGGCAGCAGGGGCCAACGCGGTAGCAATTAGGCGATTATACGAAGCCCTACGAAACCCAATCGCTGCCACTGACTCTTTGGAGGTAACAAGGGTTGCGGGGTTGGATGACTCGGAAAACATGAACGCGGGTCGGGACGGCTCCCCCGCACTGTCGGTACGTACCAGTGCCAGTATAGTACCAGCTACCGCCAGATCCGGGCTTCGGGGCTCAATTCAACAGTTCCTCAAAGCATACCCCGATCCGCTTACCGAAAAGCAAATAAATTCGCACTTCGTAACTTTTCCGGATTTTTTAACCACCCTTACCAAAATTCAACCTTCGTCTAAGAGAGAGGGGTTTGCGACAGTCCCCGATGTCACGTGGGTTGATGTCGGGAAATGCAGATAGCCATCGTGGAGCCAATCAAGAATCCCGAAATTTTTCGTAGCGCAGGAATTAGTTTGCCAGCTGGGGTACTCCTCTGGGGCCCTCCCGGGTGCGGTAAGACCCTGCTAGCAAAAGCCGTTGCAAATGAAAGTAGGGCAAACTTCATTAGCATCCAGGGTCCAGAATTACTTAGCAAGGTTCGAGTTCTGCTTTAAACATCCAAATAACCCTCAAGCTGCATACTAACCAACACAGTATGTGGGAGAATCGGAACGGGCTGTGCGCCAAGTTTTCTCACGAACCCGAGCTTGTATTCCGTGTGTTATCTTTTTCGATGAGTTAGATGGTCTAGTCCCCCGCCGCAATGACAGTCATTCGGAATCAACGTCTCGTGTAGTCAATACTCTTCTCACCGAATTGGACGGGCGCGATAACCGCAAGGGAATCTATGTCATTGGGGCAACGAACAGACCCGATGTCATTGATCCAGCAATGCTCAGACCAGGGAGATTTGATAAACTGTTATTTATAGACCTTCCCGACAAGGATGGGAGACTAGAGATCCTGAAAGCTGTCACCAAAATGACACCTCTCTCCAACGACGTCGACCTACGGGCTATTGCGGAGGATAACAGGTGTAAGGGTTTAAGGTCTGTCTTGCTCAGTGCTTCTTCCATTTTCTATACTAATATTGTGATAGTGGGGCGGACCTGACAGCATTGGTGAGACAGGCTACGATCGAGAGTCTCTTACGGTGTAGGTTTACAGATGTCGGTGGAGTTGAGGAAGGCAAAATTACTAGCAACCTACAAGCGCTAGTTACGGCAGAGGATTTCGAAAAGGCGTTGGGGAGGGTGAGGCGCTCAGTATCCGAGGATGATAGAGAGGAATATCGGGAGTTCGCGGCGGCGTTTGGTTTGCAGGGGGGGAGGCGCGGCAGTGGGCGCTGCACAAAATATAGATCATTTCCCATCCCAATTTCAATGTAACATAGATACCCGAGAGGTTATTCCATGTACTTCCTGAACCATGAAGTCTTTGTCTATCCCAAATCAGATAAACCTTGGCTATCACGAGCCCATCCAAACTCCTGGTCGGCAATGGAACTGGCCACTAATTTCTTAACACAGTGTCTATATCTGACTTGTTGTGGAGACCGTACTTGAAAAGATTTTTGACTCTCCCGTCGTTGTAGGAAAGGAGGTTTGTGACTTGAACTCTAGAGGTATATTTTGAGCCCAACCCCCCCAACAGACCAAGTACCAACCCCCTACATAGAGGCCACGGTTTCTTCTGTGCTGGAGTATCTGGCGTCCCAGCATTGGTTCAACACAATTATTAAGGCAAATGCGGACCCTAGTATGTCCACATATTTCAGAAAATTGCGAGCACCTTTCATGTCGATCTGAGGTCAAAGGAGCAGTCTTCCCAAGCGACCAGTCCGGCTGTGTTTTTAAGAAGCCTGTGTCAGCGCGGCCGAAATCATTAGCAGCCGCCCAACCCTGTCGAATCTCGTAGCGATCCAAGTCAAAGCCCCAAGGTGTCCAAGAAATCCAGAGACATCGTTAAACACTCCGCAGACTTTCCACTTTTAATCACCCGGAATAGTAGAATGTGATCAACATGTTCCCGGTACTATAGATTTCGCTTAAGACAGATCTATGTCATCCCCCGATCAACCGCCGCGATACCCACATCTGCTCTAGACTTATGCCGCCCCACCCCAGACCAATCCATACAATTCCTTACACAACCCCCCAACACCCCAGGTGAGTATGCTTTAACCAAAGCATTTTGCTATGGACAATTGCGGTAGTGCTGTTGTATAATAGAATCTTTATCCCCACACTGGACCCCAAGTGATCAGGTAAAGCCGGACGGACTGGCCGCTTGGCTTCACTATAAAAGGGGTCACCCGCCGAACTAAAAGGAGGTAAAATCTGTACACCTTCAAAGGGATTAGCCGAAGAGCAGAGGTTCCGGATTTGCTCCTGTCAATTCACTTGACCGTTTTATAGAGACCTGTCATAAGTGGCGGTGAAGACTTTTCCAAATCCTTACAATCCAAGGGGTATAAAGAGAGGGTGTTTCACCCTGATGGTGGAACAGCAGGTCAATCGAGGGATGAGTTAGGGGAGAAGAGAACACCTAGGAAATTTTTACGGCACCGGTAAGCAGTAACCTGGGTAGATTGTCACAAAATTCTAATCAACCCTGAAGGTCCACTCCCCCATCAACAGTTAAGATTTTTATTTCCAAAGGCCGAATGGATGTACTCTGGGATATTCTCCATTAGCGGCCCCTCTTGCATTAACGATATATGCTCTGATTGTGATGCTATAGAGGTTTAAAATTGTGACGTTTTGTACGGAACTTGAATTGCACGTCACGGGCTCTCAGATGTCCAAATACTCCCAGGGTGACCGAAAATATGATATGCCCAAATCTGCCCAAGAAAGAAGTGAGATCCTAAAATATCACTCACTTTATATTAACTACAAATTTACTCTCTGTATATCTCATTCTCTTAGGATGCGTTTGGATCGATTCCGTTGCTACATACAAGGCGACCGTTGCAAAATAGAAGTGTAAGAGTTTTTATATGTGAAATGGCCGCAAAACACAACGGAACTGTTGTATCCAAACGCACCCTTAAGTTCTAACAATTCTTATACGCATATCAGTGGAGCTAGTATTATACAGTAACTACCCCAAATCCGCCCCGTTTTCAAGACCACCAGAGTAAGATATAGATTACCCCATAACCCGAGACGGCTTCATCAGTTATCACCCTACCTAGGATATCATCTGCAACACCGGTAAGAGAATTCCGCAAGACCGGGACATGACTCCCCTGAGCAGGAGATAGAAGCTCGAACGGGAGTTTATCAGAGTAGGCAAATAGAAAAAGTAGGAGAAACCCACACATACCGATTCCATTTTCTCTCTCTCTCCCCTTCCCACTCCCGGGGGGGGGGTGTCAGGACCCAGAAAGGACTAGTGAAGGCATTTGAGTCATCGCCTAGAGCGATTACTCTTGCATCTTTCAAAGATAACGAGGAGCATAGAAGGGGCTGTTGGAGGCCACAAACTAGACACCGTCAGAATGAAACGAAACAAAAAGCTCTAAAGAGTCTGAAGAAAAAAATCCCCGACAAATCATTAATTACAAGGAATTAGAATTAAAGGGAAGAAAGAAAGGAGCCAATCTTTTCGTACACTACTCGTTTGCTTCCATGATCGCAACTCTGTTTGTCCTTGAAATCTACAATCTCTTGAGAAAATTTCTGGAGGAATTGTTCCTCGTGGCGGGGAAGCTCCCTCTTGAAGTATGATAGCTTTTGGCTGTCCTGACACCATTATGGACAAACAGGGGAGCGCACCCTCTACTATAGTTCAAGAACATCAAAATGTGTACCAGACCTCAAATTTTCGAATTCTATAGGCTCTACCACTACAAACATTATTTTTTTTAAAAAAAAACCTCTTGGACCCTCCTCATTCGGTAAGGTCTGGTGATTTTCCGTTGCTCCCGCACGTCTCACAGGGGGGTTAAGCGGGTCTTTTTTGTTTCTTTTTTTGCGCAGCGTTTCTCGCCCCTTTTCCAGCATAAATGATATGGAATTCTGAACTACATATGATAGCGGATTGTTCATTTATTTTAGTTTTTACGGAACTCGCTGTATTCGTTTCAACATGCCTTTCAAGACGCCTTAGATCCTCACGAACACTTCTGGCTAGGGACTGCACTGTACTACGCAGGGAAAGTAGAACAGATAGAAAGAAAAAAACCAAATGCTAATTGCCAAAAGAAAAAGAAAAAGGATTTTCTAGCATGTCAAAGCGTATTTTTTTTCTTCCCACAAACAAGAAAATCTACTAGTACAATATAATTGGATTATGCTGACTAATGACTACATATCCCATCTTGAAAGAAGAAAAAAACATCCGTAAAAAGCAAAAGTAGAAGATAGAGAACAGAGAAAAAGAAAAAAAGAGCTCTCAAGTTTCTAACAACTGCTATGCACTCCTATTCACGGCATATATTACAACCCACCTTGACATCATCCTCCGGGGAAGTGGGTCCAAATCATCCTCGTCAATTCACATATATTTTCCTGTAATCACGCTACGCAAGAGATATGCTGGTTAGCCTGAGAGGGAAGAATTCGAGAGGTTATCTGTGCTTTTGCTATATAAACTCCGCAGTACCAGTCAGGCTGATATCTGTTTGGATAGCTGTGCAAGGAAGTGGATAATTAGAGAGGCCTTATGCTGACTGTTTTAAGCTTTCCTGATCCATGAGAAGTACCCCATATAAACACAGCTGTAACTAGCATGAGAGGAGGGGGTGCACGCCCCGGCACCCCTACAGCAAAGATTAGTTTACGTCTACTTCCTTTAGTAATTTTGGCGCAAACTATAAAACGGTATTGAAAAAAAAAATCGCATTGAATTCCCTTGTAATATGATACCAGAAGAGTAAGCGAAGACATACAGCGCAAAAGAGTATCTAGCAAATGAAAACTATCCATAGAACAACCGTTTGAAACTTCCACGTCTGCATCCCTCCATCCATATGTCAACTGCTTCCCACCGACACATAAGGTGAAAGAAATAAAAGGCAAATTCAAACAGATACCTGTAAAGCAATCAAGCCAGAATCTCAATAACCCGCCCATTTGTCAATCAAGCAGACACAACACCACCCGCCACACAACCTTCTACACCCTCAATCTCGCTGCTATACCCGTAATCATCCCAACCACCTTCATACATGTCAGAGCCGCTCTCGAGACCGGTGTCGACTCCCCAGAATACTCGAAGGCTCTCGACCAACCCGGTCCATCTTGCCAAGATGCCACAATGCCCGCAGTCGTACTCCTTAACAAAAAGGTCCAAAGTTTCTGGTATTCCCCAGTTCTTGCTGTCGCAGAACCAGGGCTCGGTGACAACACCACTTTTTGCCTTGGCCAGGAATACCCTCGGACCCATCCGCTCAAAACATTTCCATGGGTTCCGATTCGGGACATTAAGTACAGCCGTGGATGCTGCATGTAGGATCGTGGCAAATTGAATGTAGGTATCTAAATGCTCAGAACACCATTTGTTTTCCTTAGCGAGATTGCCATCAAAGAACTCCTTCGCCTGCTTCACTTTGTTCGACATTAACCCTAGCGAAGTATCCAATGTTGCCATATCTTCTAGACGATCAAGGACTACATCCTCCCAGTAGTTGCTTTTAATCCTGTCCTTCATGAACGAGTTGAAAGACCTTGAATACACAAGGCTCGGAGAGCTGTCGAGTAAGACCAGTGATTCGATAGTATGTTCATAGTTGAGTAGCTTTTCAGCGAGGTGTAAAATTACTGGGGAGATGTCGGAGAATGATATGATATGGAAAGAGGAGGTACAATCTGCGAGTATATTGAGTATTGTCTGAGTGTACCATTCAGAAATCGTATCGAGAGAGCTACCGGGTGTAAGTTGAGGGCTCGGCAGGATGTACGCCGGAAATGGAAGTTCATTGGCGAGCCAGTTGAAGGCGCTATCAGTCGGAATGGTAGGTGGTGAAATGATAAAGATTGGAGTACCAATAGCGATTTGGTTTCCGCTTCTAACCACAGCCAGATAGTCCGGCTTGAACATAGATTCTTGGTTAAAGAAAGATATGGTATGTGAAGTAGAGTCCGTCTTTGTTCTTGCACACCCCAGTTCCTGTAGTATCTCCTCTACGGTCAAGCCTGGAACAAATAGTCTTGGATATGATATATTCAACCCAATTTCACTCTCCAGTCTCTGTGAAAGTTGTATTGCTTGAAAAGCGTCCATTCCCACTTTCCTAAGCTCAAGATCAAGACTTATTTTATCCCGAGGAACTCCAAGTATTTCTGAAACAATTCTCGTAATACCAGGTAGAGAATCAGGCAAAACAATCTTGGGTACAATTGTTCCCTTCAACCATTTCATATTCTCCGAAAGCCCACCT